TTATCTGTTCTAAATGGATCAAACATGATTTACGCAAATTCGAGTTGTTGAAGTTGGTGGTTGCATACGTTTCCTGAAATTATTCGTATAAATCAGAAAACCATAATATAACAAAGTATTATACTCAACATTTGTGGATAATGCCCCGTAGCCAAATTTAGCCCCAAGACAAAGGTTTCAAAATAATATATAGAAAAAGAAAGAGTTTAATGAATGAAAAAGTAATTAAATTATCGTTTTAATAGTGTTCAGGATTTGTTTCTCTTTTTTAAAATAGTTATTAGTCCAGTTTAAACGCCTTACTTGTAGGAAATGATTGAGTTAAACGAAAGCAAGAGAAAAGAGATAAGTTAAAATTTCGAGAAAAAAATATAATAGAAAAGCTTTATTGGCGAAAAAAGAGAAACTTGCTTACCAGTAAAACATTGGTCCTAGTTCTGCCAGCCACTGACCTTCTACACTGCTAACGCACTGCATATATTCCTTTGTAGTCATAATAAGTTCATGATAAATTATGTAATCAGGAGTGTATCCCATACCGTAAAGAGCACTTGTTGGATGAAGATGACAAGGCATCCCTGTACGCAGGTTCACGTACTCACCGAGACCCTGTTAAGAAAGTGGACATTTAACGAGGTGTAAATTAATTTGAATATGAATCATTTTATGCGCTCAAACTGAATGTACATGTGTGAAGGTATCAGTATGAGTGGCTATCTGCAAGTGTAAAATTTATGTGCAAGCATGCAAAAAGATTCTTAAATAGGTCTTCTTGGTGTAGTGTTAACGAGTGGCATTTGCAAAAATGAGTCACAGCTCTGACTATATTCGGCATATGACGAGCGATAGCTCAGCCCGTCTTCGCCTGAAACGATGGAGGATGCCTCGTGGACTGACTCAATAATAACGCCATATTAAAGCCAAACGGCTGCAGTAAAACGGAAATCAACTGTCGTCTTCTGGTAAGCTCGACCTGAAATCTCTTCAGCATATACTTTCATATGAAATAAAAGTATGTATAATAAATGTAAGTTGTCCAGATTCGCAATTTGAGCGGATAGAGCTGCGTGTGTATAACTATAATAATTTTTTCATCAATGTATGTTAGTATGGATAAATCCTTTCCTTAAGTACATATTGAGTTATGTAGTAAAAGAGTTTTATCTTAGAATACTTTATTGAAAATGAAATAAAATGCGCAATCAAAAATCATTATAAGACACGGTAGAGAAATAGGTCAAAATTAGAATTGTATATAGATAATCACAATGCTATGAAGCTGTTCAACAATGGCATAGGTTTTCGTATGATTCACACATTCACTTCACGTAAGTATAGCCTATTTTAAGGCCTATACAGGTAAAGTGGGCGTATAACCATTAAGTCCTAAAATACCAATAGGAACTGATTTTTGAATTGCCCTAAAATGATATGAGAAGGCTTCCCGATGCAATTTAATTTATCCTTGCTTCCCAAAAATTATTCGCATCCAGGGTGAACTGCAGTTTCGATCTCGAATAGGCTTCAATAGCACCCTCAGCTCGGGTCGAGCAATGCAACGTACGATTTCGGCACATTACTAGGAATACTCCTGGACCATAGGGCATAAGTGAATTTTAAAACTGGCCAAGTAACTTGAGGCTAATTCTTCTAAGTAATTCACATGGACATGTTGTGGTTCAACATTGAATCCAATCAAAACAAGTAGTACAACAAGATTTGTTGGTTGGAACACAGGAGACTGGGGCATAGGATGTCATAGACTTGATATTATGGATAAAAGCACACTAGCTGTGGCAGAGACTAGATCTAATTGGCTAATAGTAGACGCGCTTGCACATAGACATGATTCATGAGGCGAAGGCTTAACCATGAGAATTAATCGGGGTCTTTAGCCTCAAGTTAGTCTCCCAGAGGCAGTGTGGGAAATAGCGCTTCGAGTAGCACAAAGATTTGCAGGGGTTAAGTGAAATACTTAAACAAGGGAGATAGCAGACTGATCCTACAGAGCAAGAGGGAGAATATAAGACCTATGGAAGGACTACGGAAAAATATGACAGACTCTGATCAACATTCCCAGCACAAAGATGAAGAGGTTGAGAGAGACAGCGTGTGGTGTCAAGAGTTCTCATTAAATCCGCTCAAAGGAGCACACCATACCACATTTAAATAAGCAAGCAAAAATTGTGATAGTGAAGGGGTGATACGAGGATATAGGGTTGATGATTAGCCCAAGGCGGAAGGATAGATACCACGATTGTTTAGCAGACAATTGTCAGAGGATCGGTTTCACTGATCTCTTTGGCGAGTTTTAATGTGGTGCTGAGAATGACAATGCTCACTGACGATGCCGACCATCATGCCGCCGAAACATCTGAGAATGTACCCCGTCGACATTTCGACTCTGGAAATTATCATGCATACAATGAACTCCGGATTAGGTGCGTTCCTCTGTCTGCCTGCCAATATAATCAAGTTGCAAAAACAAGGTCAAACAACTTCCATATAACGAAAAGAGACCGCGACCATATAAAAGGCCACACCATCTTGGTCTTCTTACTTTCGATTAACAAAATAATATTTAATTATTTGTATATGATATATCTATAGATATTTTTTATACTATTATTATCAAAATGAAAAATGCAGTAAATTTGACCAATTTAAGAAAAAAAATATATTTAAAATAAAAAATAAAAAAAGTGAATGATAAAATAATATTCCGCACCTTTATCCTAGCAGCCTGATGGAAGTAGGCAGAGCAAAGACATTTACGGACAATGTCCCAGTCGGAACCAGACGAGACAAGAATCATGTTATGCTGCTCCATTATCTCTTTCATCTGTTGTCGTACTTCGCGAACCTTTCGCATTGCCTTGGCATGAATAAAGTGTTTAGTACAAAAGTAGGAAGAGTAGCTTTAAAGAGAAAGAAAAAAAGAACATTTAACGGAGATGTGTAGGAACGATAAAATTTTAGGTCAGAGAAGAGAAATTAGGAAAGAGAATCTCTTTCAGCTGAATAATAATTGCATAGAAATTTAAGACGATCAAGGTTTAGTAAGTTAATAGATTAAGTAGATAATTTCTTTAAAAGAAATTAAAACGACTATGCAAGTATGGTGGGCGCTAAGGTTGTGGCAGGGAAGAATAATTAGATTGATTCTGCAAACGCTTTAACATCAGGTGTAATACTTCAATCTGAAAGGTTACTGCTAAGTGTAAAGTAACTAGACCTGAGAAGAACCTTATAAAATGCATTATCGGAAGAGATATGGGGCACATTATTTGTATTTGCGGTCATATGGCTATGTGAATGAAAAAAACATAAGCTGACAAAGAGTTGGTAACATTACAATCAATAGTAGAAATAGTAAATAAATAGATTTGTCGAAAATAAATTCAAGTAAACAATAAATCCATCGAAAAAAGTTATAATAATAGGTCCGAGGCTAGAAAATCAAGCAGAAATCTAAATAAAAGTTTATGGATGTACGGGTATTGACATATCATAGACTTACGCTGCTTTGCGCCATTGAGTGAAAACATTAAGAAAAGTCAAATGATCAGATTCAGGAACCTAAATATAAAAAAAGAAACAAGTAAATATGATAAATAAGCGTAAAAATGATTGCATCAGCAAAATACAGATAATAAATAAAGGCTTTACTAGAGCTGTGAATAAAACATTGGAAATGTTAGGTCTGCAAAGCCTTCACATTAAAATGAATTTCGTGCGGAAAAAATAAAACATTCCGTATAAAATATTATATTTTTATAAATTCAAATCAGAAAAAGTTTCATGAACTTTTTATTAGATAGGCGAATCATGAGAAATGTTCGTGATAAATAGAATTATAAATTAGCAGAAGGTTATGGATAGGAGCTGTATTCGCTCCAAGTCGCACGAAATGATGGACTGATAATTAAATTTTCCCATAATGATAAGAGTAAGTCTCAATAGAATTAGAATTTAATTAATTTTGCCTCATAAAAGACATTATCATCCAGGGTTGACTAGTTCAAAATTTCGACCTCGCCTGCGTTTCATTGACACCCCTAATGGGAATCGAACCAGAGAAGTGCAGCGTAAAGTTCAAAATTTTGTCGCCAAGCTAGGCTAGCACAGTTGCTTGTGAATCACAGGTCGGAAGTGAATTTCAAGGCAAGCAAGGCCTTTCCGATAT